CTGGGGCTGAAGCACAGTGCTGAGGCAGAAAAGTACCTCTTCAAAACAGAAAATACTCCTTGATGGACAGTGTGCCAAAGTCTCTAGAAGAGACTCCCACTTGCTTTCAGAATCATCCAACCACTGCGGTTTGTGCCTCTATTACTGAGGACTACAGTTTTAGCCTCTGAGATAGGTGTCCCCATCTAAATGCTAAATGAAAGGTGGTAGTTCTCAGCAGAGCTAGAGATTCTTCTGGAGCCCCAGGAGTCACCATGTACTCACCTGGAGGAGAAGAGGGTGTTTCATAGTTCTTTTTGTAACTGCTGTATGCCAGTGCCATATGTTAAACAGAAGGGCCTGTTCCAAATCAGAGCAGGAAAGAGAGAAGTTAGAGGAGCCCTTGTCTCTTCTCTTAGACACACTTGGGAATACAACAGAGTTCTGGTCCATCTCATCATATTTGTGGCCTCTACAGTTAAAGCTTGGATCAGGGGGTTGCAGCATAGTCTCCATCCCTAAAGGAATGGGACTTGCACTGCTGTCTGTCAGAAGCCTTATCAGTTTAATAGAGCAGGCTGGGAGGAAGTTTATTGTACAGAGAACACCTAAGTTGCCTCCTCTTCAAAGAGATTGGAAGCTCTTCCCCACACAGCCTTTAAGGATGACTTTCCTTATTTACATTGGCCACTTGCTAAACTTTTAGTGCAACACTTTTATGGTGTCTCCTGCTGCTGTCATCCAAGCTCTCTCTGCCTGTTGCTGGCATTCCAGCAGTGAGCAAGATATCCCAGGCCTAGAGAGGGGATTTGGCTGCCTGGTGTAGGCTGACACAGCTCTAAACCCACAGGTTTGACCGCATGGGAGCAGGAGGTCCACTCTTCATTGATGTGACATGGCACCCTGCAGGGGACCCAGGATCTGACAAGGAAACCTCTTCCATGATTATTGCCAACACTGCAGTCAACTACTGTGGCCTGGAGACCATCCTGCACATGACATGCTGCAACCAGACCAAGGATGACATCACAGGGCATCTACAGAAGGCCAAACGTCTCGGGTTGAAGAACATCATGGCACTGCGTGGAGGTGAATCCTTCTGCCCTGTGATGTGTAGCACTGAGGCTGTGCTGCCATTGTGGTCAATTCCAGAGTAAAAAATTGAGAAATAAAACTGGAGGCATTAAATGCTGAGACTGCCTTTCACCTGATCCCATTGTTAGCAGTTCCTCCAGCTCAAGGGTAGACAAAACCAGTCCATGGATGAAACTGCAGACTTGGGGGTTTCATCTCTGTCTTCCTTTTGATAGAAGGAGATTTTTATAGAACTAGCAGATCTGAATCCAGCAAACAGTTGGAGAGAGCTGTGAATTTGTTGTCTTTTCAGATCCTGCTGGTGAGGAATGGGAGGAAGAAGTAGATGGTTTCAACTATGCTGTTGACCTGGTTAAGCACATTCGCAATGAATTTGATGATTATTTTGACATCTGTGTGGCAGGTAAACGTCTTCCATTGCAGTGTGGGGTAGGGCCTGAGACAAGAAAATCAGTTTAGCAGTCCCTCCCTGGACCTGGGCTGTGACAGCAGTATCAGATTGGCTACTTTCTAATTTCTAGGGTGTTGTCCTGACCCTCAGGGTTTCACTTTTTTCACCCCCTCCTCCCCAAAGGCTACCCCAAGGGTCATCCTGAAGCAGAGAGCTATGAGGCAGACCTGAGGCACCTGAAGGAGAAAGTCTTTGCTGGAGCAGACTTCATCATTACACAGCTTTTCTTCCGGCCAGAAACCTTCCTCAAGTTCATGAAGGATTGTCAAGCCATTGGCATCACCTGCCCCATTATTCCTGGCATCTTCCCCATACAGGTAAAATCCAGTAATTCTAGTTTGGGGAGGGAACAAGGATCCAGGATGTTATGTGTTTGGATCAGGGCCTGGGAGAGATCTGTAAATATCCTCCACAAAATTTCTGGGAAGTGAGAGTGCTAAACCTGTGATAAATGTGTAGGTGGTTTGCTAAATTAAACTTAAGCTGGTAATAAGCTGAAAAGGTTTTCTGTGCCCATATGGCAAAAAGGGACAATGGTCTGCCAGTCCCAAGGTGTGAGTTGTCACTGTCAGGATCTTGGGCTCAGGCCTACAAGGAAGCTGGAGAGAGACTCTTTGTTAGGAACAAAGGACAAGAAGCAATGGGGATAAATTGAAAGAGGAAATTTAGATTTGATATTAAGAAGAAGTTTTCCCTGTGAGGGTGATGAGACACTGGCACAGGTTGCCCAGGGAGGCTGTGGCTGCCCCAACCCTGGCAGTGTTCACAGCCAGGTTGGATGAAGCCTTGAGCAACCTGCTCTGGTGGGAGGTGTCCCTGCCCAGGGCAGGGGGTTGGGGCTGGATGATCTCTCAGCTCCATTCCATTCCCTTAACATACTATAACAGTATGACCTGGAGTGTGTTACCATCCTAGAGATGGAGCCTGGGAGTAGACTCCAGGAGACCCAATGCTAAATGTCCTACCACAAAATCAAGTCCCTATGTTCTGGGATGTCAGAAAAGGGCCTTGGAAAAACAAAAATCTCCTGTATCCTCATCCAGGGTTATCACTCCCTGCGCCAGCTGGTGAAGCTCTCCAAGCTGGAAGTGCCTCAAGAAATCAAAGATGTGATTGAACCCATCAAGGACAATGATGCAGCGATCCGGAACTATGGGGTGGAGCTGGCAGTGTCCATGTGCAGGGAGCTGCTGGACAGTGGGATGGTGCATGGGCTCCACTTCTACACCCTCAATCGCGAAGTGGCGACTACCGAAGTCCTGAAGCGCTTGGGCATATGGAAGGAGGACCCCAGGTGAGCAGAACATGTTGACTTCTGCTAGTTCCACTTTCACATCCATCCATCCATCCATCCATCCATCCATCTCCCCCTGCTGAAGGGGCAAGCAATAGATGGGTTAACACCTTTACTCTGCTTGTTTCTTCTTCTTTTAGCACCTTTCTGCATTAGTTCATCCTTCCTGCAGATCTCCCACAAAAGCTGAAGAGGAATAGAGGGGACAGCTGAAGGAGGAATTTGTTTTAGTCATATAGCTTTAAAGTAGATGTTCTGGAGTTTTAACAACCTAGACTTGGAGCTGCCACTTGGAAGAAATGTGTCTTTGATGTCTGTCACAATCCCTCTTACAGACTAGGTGCTATGTAAGCTCCCACTGTGGATTTATAGGGTTGTTTGCAGCTGATAAAGGAAATCTGGACTTCTCTCTGAGTCCACAGCCTTCAGCAGAGACAAGAGGAAGCATGGGAAAATTGACAGCTGTATTTTTTAATCCTTGTTAAGAATGGCTACTTATAGTGCTTTGCCCTTTTTCAATTTCAGGTGTCAGTCCTGTACTTTCACATTACATAGACACCTACTGAGCAACCTGCAAGGGAACTGAGTGGGAAATATTTCCCACTCAAGGGAGAGAAGAGTTTCTTCCCCTACTTCTCGGCTAACCAAACTCTTCTCAGCCCTTGTTACTTGCTCTCCCCAGAGGCAAAGTTCTCCATGGGAAAGGCTTCCAGGTCCTAGTAGAAAGTCAGCAGAGGAACTGTGTTAACATTTGCTCCTCCTCTGCAGGCGACCTCTGCCCTGGGCAGTCAGTGCTCACCCCAAGAGGAGAGTGGAAGATGTTCGGCCAATCTTCTGGGCCTCCAGGCCAAAGAGTTACATCTATCGAACCCAAGAGTGGGATGACTTCCCCAATGGGCGATGGTAAGCTGTCCCCTGCAGTGGCACTGAGCAGAGGGGTGGTGTGAGAGCCTGCTGCAGTGGGTCTCTGTTAATGGGTGTCCTGGGCACAACTTGAGCTTGGCAGAACAAGTGGCTTTGTACCAAAGTGGTCCTGTTGCTTGGATTTGAATGAGTTGAGGAGAATGGCACCAAGATGTTGAGGTTTTTGGTGTCTAGGTGGGCTTTGCTGGATAATTCCTGAGTGGCTGTCTTCCTGCATCACCAAATTGGTCATCTTCCTTAGTGGCCTGTTAATTCTGTGTCTTCTCCCCTCACAGGGGCAACTCCTCCTCTCCAGCCTTTGGGGAACTGAAGGACTATTACCTCTTCTACCTGAAGAGCAAGTCTCCCAGGGAGGAGCTCCTGAAGATGTGGGGAGAAGAGCTGACTGGTGAGGAAAGTGTCTTTGAGGTGTTCACGTGTTACATCACTGGAGAACCCAACAAGAATGGCTACAAGGTGAGTGATGGCCCAGGAAGGGATGGTCAGTGTGGCACAGACAGTAGAACATATTTCCTCTTGTTCCTGGTACCACATTGTTCTTGTAAGCAAGATTAGCACTTCACTATCCAAAAGGACTTGCTGAGATAGTGGCTGAAGGGAATGCAGCAGTCACAGCTAGGGCTCAACATAAAGGGAAAGCTGCTACAGTATAACAGGACCAGTATCAATAGACTTCAGCAGGCATTCATAGTTGAACATACCCTGCCCCTTAAACCAAACGCGGGAATTCTCTCCTGAAGCAAGTGTGTTTGAGACCATTGGAGCACTTCTGAGTTCTGTCAACATCCAGATGGTAATCAAAGGGTTGTTACCTCCCTTGTGACCCATCCTTTCTCCTCACGGTAGGTTACATGTATGCCTTGGAACGATGACCCTCTTGCTACTGAAACCAACCTTCTGAAGGACCAGCTGGAGAAGGTCAACAGACGAGGAATCCTGACCATCAACTCCCAGCCAAACATCAATGGCAAACCATCCACAGACCCCATTGTGGGCTGGGGGCCCAGTGGGGGTTATGTTTTTCAAAAGGTACTGCACTGCTCTGGGCTAGGCAGCAAAGAGTTATGACCCAGTTTGGTCTCTGGTAGACTTTCATCCAGATAATCTTTCTGCCTGCTCCTTATCTTAATGCCTTCTTGGTGAGATGAGGCAAAGCTCCTTTGGTGTCTTAAAAGACAGACTGTGTCATCTCTATGGCTTACTTCATGTCTGTTTTCTCTCACTTCAGAACATCTTTTGAACATCTGAAGAGTTTCATGGTTTTACTCCTGACAAGTAATTATTGGTAACTTATTTCTAGATGCCGGTGTGCCTGCCCACTGCATCAGATCCCGTTCAGTGATGTTGGAATCATACAGATTTTTCATAAAATGGGAATTAATGGGGTAATAATTGGGCATTTAAAAACTCCCCTGTCTGTCCTGTAAGGCAGAGCTCTCCACAATAGCCTCCACTGCAGAGCACTCTGCTGTGCTGCTCAGACAGCTGCCAGGTTCCTTCCCTGGCCTGCAGACAGCCTTGCCTGCCATTCCTGCCTCCCACTGTCAGGCATTCCAGGCCCTAGAGCCTTGCCACTAATGGCTGTGATAGGAATCTCCCATCAAGGTAAATGCCAGGCAAGTGGCTCACACTGGAAAACAAAGCAGCCTTGTTCAAAAGGGATCCAAACCACTAAAGCCAGAGACCAGCAGATGGCAAATGCAGTTATGTTTTCAAAGGAAAAAATTCCCCTGAGGTGAGGGAAATCCATCATCTCACACAATAGCCAGGAAATGGGGGGAGGGGGAGCAGTTGTTGGGAGCAGCCAAGCACAGAGCAGCAGTAGACAAGCAAGTACAGAATTCGGTTGTATAAGCACACGGGGAGGACTGTGAACAAAAGGTGAGGACAGGGAATGGTACTTGGGAGAGCCCAGCTGAGACCTCTCACCAGGCTGGGCTGCCTTGGCAAGACTCTGCTGTAGCATAGAGGTCAAGCTCAGGCCTCTTCCAAGCTCTCTTGGAGAGCAGGCACAGGCTGCTCCTGGAGCAGCAGTTGTGGTTGGACTGGAGTTCATTCCAGTTCGTCTGCTTACATGGGTGCAAAACAAGAAGCATGTAGCTATTTCCTGAGCAGACTCTTCTTGGGTTGTTACCTCTGCTCTCCTTGATTATGTTTTATCCCTAGCTCTCTTACTAATTTGCTCCGCTCTTTGCTCAAGCCTCCTCTTTAGTTCATGTTTCTAGGGGATGAACAGACAAGACAGCCCAGACTCTACAACTGTTCTCTTGTTTTTATCCCAGTCCTGCCATGAGTTAAGGCTCTGATTCTCCTCCCCTTTCCCCATCCTTCCCTGCAGGCATACCTGGAGTTCTTCGCCTCCAGCGAGATCGTCACAGCACTGCTCAAGGTGCTGAAGAAGTATGAGCTGCGGGTGAACTACCACATTGTCAATGTCCAGGTAGGCTCTTGGGCTGTTGTTCTCTGGACACTTTGCTTTCACCACCTTGGGAGAGAGGCAAATGTCAAAGATTCAGATATCACTATGAACAAAGTGGGACATGAGGATTGATGAAGGGTAGGGAAA